AAGCTTATTTTATTTTGTTAATTTCACCAAATTATATTGACAATTTGTAATCCCTTGACATCGTGTTTATTTATTTAAAATGAGCATACTATTAATATAAAAATGAAAAGATTTTTAAATAGCAAAATTGATACTTTTTTATTCGAATAAAACATGTATGCTGAATTAATTTACTGTAGTATACATCACTGATGGGCAATTAGTCATTTCAATGTAGAAAATAAGGAATCGATAAATCCAATATTTTTTGACAATATTCCAGGAATATAGGAAATTCCGCGGAAAGTTCCAAAATCTTACATATTATTTATGACAGCTTATATTTATAAATAATTATAATATTTAGTTAAATTTTACACAAATATTCGATTATATGAATTTAAAAGTTTTAAATTAATATTATGAAGAAAATTATGTATAAAATTTGTAAATATTATATTTAAATACATTAATTAACTATGTTTAACTAAAATCCCGGAATTCCCTATAATCCCGAAATACTGTCAACAATTTCTGGAAATATCGAAACTTTTTTTTCTACATTGAAATCTCTAATTGCCCATCAGTGGTATACATTAATAAATGTTTTAATATGAAAATAAGTAAACAAAATTTAATGTTTAATAAAATAATTTACAATAATCTGATGCCACCGAGCACGGTTAGCGAGTTTACATTAAGCATGATTCTCGAGTTATAGCCATGGTCCTTGCACAAATGCCGTGAATAAACCTGTCCAACACATTGATTAATTGAATAGATAAACTAAATTAAATAATAATGTAATAATATGTAATAGTAATGTCAATTTTATAAAAATAATAAAATTTTATCAAGACTCATTGATGCATTTGTTTGGACATTACAGCTTGAATGCACTGTCCATTTAGTTGCCGGTGCACATTGGATCCACCTCTGACACCGAACTATTAAACGAGTTAATATAATTATAAAATATACTAGGACATTTTACATTAATACTTTTTTGATTGACAAGGTTTGGCATGGATCTCGATGATATAATTTTCACACAAATAAAAATTTTCGGCATTGATTGGTACTAGACACTGTACCGGTTGACTTATTGTACCCGGTGTACCCTCTAGCGAGTCGGTTATTTTAAAATATATATCATCATGGTCATCGTTAAAACCGGCAGTCGCTTTTAGAAAGTCCTTTAATTCATTAACAAGCTGAAACTTGTGATCATACGTTAATACAATAGGTAGTCCAATGTGTTTTGTCTTGACAATCAACTTGGACGTTGTAGAGTTAAAGACATTGTCCTTGCACCAACGCCGTGTATACGATTGTCCAACACATTGGCCGCCACTCATTTTGCATACCACAATGCTGTCAAAATTGCGATCCACATCTTCCCTGTCCGTTTCATTGCAGACACCCTATTTAGTGAATTGTCAAATCATATTTCTATGAAACATTTATTTTGTAATATTAACTTGACAATGGTGGCTAAGATGTTGCATTTCTGTTATTTTATACGAGACAGCTCTATGGACCTTGCTTAAAAAGATCACTGTTTAATGCTATACAGTAGTTTGTAATCAGTGCTATGTGGATTTCTATTTATGTATGCAGGTTCTACCCCAAAAGACCTAAAACCGAAAAGACCTAAACTCAAATAACTAACTGACCAGTGGTCGTATTTTAAATTTGATGAGTGGAATAGATTTGTCCTAACCTCATCTAACTTACCCTAACCTAATTTAAGTCAAATGACCACTGGTCAGTTAGTTATTTGAGTTTAGGTCTTTTCGGTTTTAG